GGACTGGAACGCACCGGACCCGGCTCTGACATATACGTCAGCACATCAAAGAACAAGATAGAGGTCCCCGGCGAAAAGACAAAGAACGACTCTAACTGGAAACCAACATTGGGAGGAAAAGGAACAGAGCAACACCATAGAAAACTGAGAGACACCTACAACCGTTCAGGATTCCCTTCCCCGCAGGATTGTCCTAAACTCAGACAATACAGGACAGTCCACCCATGTTTGTCTATCTCCCTAAAACTGGACAATCAATAACACCACAGTCTCAGCCTGAACCCAACCCGAATACCCCTGTGTAAAGAAACATACAATCAAAACCAGAACCTCAGGTCGTATGAATATGTATTTAAGCGTCAACCTATAAGTAATTACAAAATGTGACATACTATGATATAAATAGAGGTGACCTCCATCTCCTACTGACCAGACCGCGAGAAAACCAAAAACATTTAACATTAACGACAAAAGTAAACGACTTAAACTAACAACGATAGCAAAAGGTACAGACAGGACCGGACCGAGACAGACCAGGGGTTGGGACATGAAACCAATCAACCATTACCCAAACAAGACAAAACAAACTCCTACCCCTTCCCCCCAGTAGACATTAATAAACACAAACCTCCACGAAGCAACCACACTTTCTCAGACGGTTTCATTCCGTGAGCCCACCAATGCTCACTAAATTTAATAAATACAATACTCGACTTACCCACGCCTCACCCCACACAAAGAACGGTGCCAATTTGCTATAGCCCACTGCAGACTCAGGGACATCTGAGGGGCAGACACCAGTTTCTACAGTCACCCCAGAGTGACCAGAGTAAAAACAAAAAAGTTTCAGACGTTCAGTTACATTATAAAACAAAAATCCTGTATATAGTTGACCAACTGCCGACAACAACCGAACTTGTATTGATTGCTGGTCAGTTTCTTTTTACTCTCCTTCTTTCTCCCCCCCATCCCCTCTTTTAAGAAAAATATTGTTCACGCATAATTGTGTATTGCATGTACCTGCATTTTATTGTGTATTTTGAACACTGAACACAGAGACGATAAAGTCTGCAGGGAACAGACTATGGTAGGCTCTAAACACCCAAACTCTATATCCAACATCCTCACCCCCAACCATATATTCTGAAACAACAATGGCTACTATTTCTATTTTAACACATAATGCCAGGGGTCTCAACACACCCAAGAAACGCCACCTGGCACTCTCAGACTATCACAGGCAGAAAGCTGACCTAATATTTATACAAGAAACACATTTTCGCAAGGACGCAGCTCCCACACTCAGATCAAGATTCTACACCAAAGGTTATTTCAGCAATTACATAGGCTCAAAATCAAGAGGAGTAGCAATACTTCTATCACCACAGCTCCCATTCACGTATAAAGACCATTATTCAGACGACGGGGGCAGATTCCTCTTTCTTAAGGGACAGATAGGCAACACACCCACAACTATGGCCAATATATACCTCCCGAATAGGAAACAAGCAGCTACCATACGTAACATACTACACAAATTAGAAACATTTACGGAGGGTTTATTAATCCTAGGAGGGGATCTAAATGTCTCACTAGACGGGAAACTAGACACCACCTCGCATGCCCAGACATACCAGACCTCAACGAGAAATCAAATACAGAAAATCCTTGATAAATATCAACTGTACGATACCTGGCGGGTCACACCCAGGCTGCAAAAGCTACTCGTTCTACTCACACTCCTCAGGAACATATTCCAGAATTGATATGCTATTTACCACACACAGATTCCTGAATCTTTTCAAAACATGCGAATAAGCCCCAATCACGTGGTCAGATCATGCCCCACTCTCACTGACGATAACGGTCCCGACCATACAGCCAACCAGGACACAATGGAAACTAAATGACACATTGCTAAATGGCCAAATCATACCACCGCAAATTGAGGAAAGTTTAACCCAATATTTTGAAACCAATGTAAATCCAGAAACACCATTCCCAATAATCTGGGAAGCTCACAAAAGCATCATCAGAGGAACTATCATACAAATTGCATCCCGACACAAAAAACAACGGGAAGCTCAGATAAAACACCTAACAAAAGAAATCAGGGAATTAGAGGAAATACACAAACACACCACCACTATACCTATATATAAAAGTCTGCTAGAGAAAAGAACAGAGCTCCACACCATCCTAAATGTATGAACCAAATACGCACTAGCAAAGACACGGAGCATACACTAAGCACAGGGAGGGAAAAGTGGGCGCCTACTGGCCAACGCGTTAAAAAAAACAGAGGGAACACACTTTTATAGCAGCCATCCGCGACAACAAGGAGACGTCTCACACTCTGCTGCCTGGGCTGATTCATGCCGACCAGTGGCTTCATCCCGGGCAGAGAGGCAAAAAATAATACCACCAAGATTATCAATCTTGTCCACCAGGCCACAAGGCGTTTGACATGGTAGACTGGACAATGATGTCATATATGCTACAACATCTTGGATTTGGACCAAATTGGATGAAATGGATTGGTGCAATATACTCAAACCCCACAGCCAACATCAGGATCAATGGGTAGCTCTCTGACCAGGTGCCCATCACAACTGGCACCAGGCAGGGATGTCCGCTCTCCCCCCTTCTTTTCGTACTCATCCTAGAACCATTCTTACAGGGAATCAGGGACAACACCAACATTGCAGGAATACAAGTGGGGAAAGAAGAGCATAAAATAGCAGCATTTGCTGATGATATGCTCTTTACACTATCAAACCCAACAAACTCATTACAACATCTAATGGAAGAAATGAACACATATAGCGTCATATCCAACTTTAAAGCAAATCTCAATAAATGCGAAATCCTCCCTATACACATACCGACACATATGACAACAGAAATAAAACCAGTTTGCGTGGGCCCCACAAAACATAAAATACCTAGGGGTTTACATCACCAAGGACACCTCCCACGTATTCGAGAGAAATTTCCCAGACCTAATGAAAACCATACACACAGACCTCACTGCATGGAATAAACCACAATTTGGATGGTTCTGCAGGCTGAGCATTCTCAAAATGAATGTTCTCCCCAGGATCCTATATCTGTTACAAGTTCTTCCCATATCTATGCCAAAGACATGGTTTAACTCAGTTCGAAAGACACTCACGACTTTCATCTGGGCACACAAAAACCCACGATTATCATACACACTTCTTACAAGACCAAAAGATGATGGAGGCCTTGGCCTACCTGATATGGAGAAATACCACAAAGCAGTGCACCTAACTAGAATATACGATTGGTCATTCCCATACACCACGAAACAGTGGGTAACAATTGAAACGACATTCTTCAGGGCACCAATCTATACGATCCCATGGCACAAAGTAGGACAATCACTTATGATGCCAGGTCCACATCCAACAATCACACCTACCTTACGCACTTGGGCGACCCTGAGATCATATAAACAGATATCACCATACCGTTCTCCACTTTACCCAATTTCACACAATCCTCTCTTTCAACCAGGGGCAGATGGCAAAGCACTAAAACACTTCCAGAAGGCAGCCTACCTCACACTTGGGGAAATACTGGATACTACTGAGGAACAAAAGGTTAAACGAATGAAGGACCTCATAGAAACACAGACGGTGATTCAAAAATTCCAACACCACCAAATAGTACACTTCGTTCCCTCAGGCCCACTAGCACACAGCACTAAACGAACACAAACAGAGTTTGAACAACAGTGCTCTAAACAAAACCTGAAAAAGAAACTTATCTCGGTGATGTATACCATAATTCAAACAACACATCCACACCAATTACCGGCTTACACCACAACATGGGAAAAGGAATTAAACATAGAAATACCTAGAGACAAATGGAGACAAATCTTCAGACAAATACACAAATCCGCTAGAAATACAATAACACAAGAAAACAACTATAAAAGAATTGCTAGATGGCACTACACCCCATCGAAATTACACGCTCTCTTTCCCACAGTACCAGACCACTGTTGGAGATGCCACTAGCCAAAAGGGACAACAACGCACATCTGGTGGACATGCCCGGAGATCCGCAGATTCTGGACGCGGGTCGCAGGCATGATTTCTGAGGTGTTACAGACACATATCCCATTACACCCAGACACATACAAATTCCTTCTCCCCCCCACGACATACCAAAATACGAAAAAACCCTACTAGTACACCTAATCACATCAGCAAATCAGCTCATCCCAGCCCTCTGGAAACAACCACTCACACCCACAATGAGAGAGTGGATACAAAAAGTGGAAACCATAAGAAGCCTTGAAGAGACATGCTACTTTCTAACACACCACTACCATCAATACACATCCACATGGGACCCTTGGCTCCAATATATGCGGAACCAACCCATTTAAGCGAAAACGTATTCTCCCCCCCACCCCTCCATCTTCTCCAAACAAAGGGATACTCCAAAAATCAGCACAACAGAAAGTCCATATGAGGATACAAAGGTATAACAGACCACCAGACGGGTCCCACAACCATAATAGGAAATCATCAATACAATAGATTAAAGGGAAAGTCTACGTAGATCAGATTAGAATACCAAATAGACTTACTCTGAGTAACCAAGTTAAAACACTCAAACGAATGGTTCCACTGTTATATAAGCTAACTCATGTAATGTTCAGAATGCGACACACAACTGTACATGTTTAAACGTTTGTCACTGTGGTCATGTAGACCAATTATTCTGCAAAATTATTCTGTACCACTTATCATACTAAAAAAAAAAAAAAATATTATGCAGGATAAAGGAAAATACATTTATAGGGAATAGAATATTGCGATAATACATAGGCATAGATCAATTAAAGTGATATTAACCATAAAGTGCAATAAGAAAAATAGTGAATGAGGAAAGTAAGAAGGAGTAATAGCCCCTACTATTGCAATTGTGGTACAGGCTATATGTATATAACATATAAACAGATATCACCATACCGTTCTCCACTTTACCCAATTTCACACAATCCTCTCTTTCAACCAGGGGCAGATGGCAAAGCACTAAAACACTTCCAGAAGGCAGCGTACCTCACACTAGGGGAAATACTGGATACTACTGAGGAACAAAAGGTTAAACGAATGCAGGACCTCATAGAAACACAGACGGTTATTCAAAAATTCCAATACCACCAAATAGTACACTTCGTTCACTCAGGCCCACTAGCACACAGCACTAAACGAACACAAACAGAGTTTGAACAACACTGCTCTAAACAAGACCTGAAAAAGAAACTTATCTCGGTGATGTACACCATAATTCAAACAACACATCCACCCCAATTACCGCTTACACCACAACATGGGAAAAAGAATTAAACATAGAAATACCTAGAGACAAATGGAGACAAATCTTCAGACAAATACACAAATCCGCAAGAAGTACAATAACACAAGAAAACAACTATAAAAGAATTGCTAGATGGCACTACACCCCATCGAAATTTTTCCCCACCATAACCTATTTGGATTTTGCTTCTCAAGCACTACCATGCCTCAATAAGCAAACCAGTAACCAACCTCATACTGACGAGTTGCATTAACAACGAAACAGCTGTCCATGAGTGGTTCACTGGTTTTGTATCTTTTCCTATATTGTGTTTCAAGCTGTTGTATACAGCAAACACAGATTAAATCCGTGTTTAAAATGGAATGAGGCAAAAATGTGATTCTTTGTTAAACTAATTTGCATATGCCCACCCAGAATCCTTTGCGGTTGTAACATCACTGTATTTGGATTTTGCTTCCCAAGCACTACCAAGCCTCAATAAGCAAACCAATAACCAACCTCATGCTGACGAGTTGCATTAACAACCAGGGGCGTACCTGGAGCATTTGGCACATGGGGCGGATCCTTTATTTGACAAAACAACCACAATTTTTTTTAAATGTATTTAGCACTGAGCAGTGTTTGTATATTTTTAATGTAAGCATGTTTTTGTATGGAGTATGTGTGAGTGAATGTAAGCATGTGTTTGCACGCATTGACATTTGAATGCAGGCTTGCATTTTTCTGTAGTGTGCTTTTTGAATATGGTGGTGTGTTTATATGTAGCGTTGACATTTGGATGCAGGGTTGTATTTGTGTGTATTTTAGGCGAAATGCTGAGATGTATGCACATACACACATACTCACATATACACACACTGGCACAAATACAGATACACAGACACATAGGTACACACATGCAGTTACATAGAAACACGGTCACACACAGACACAGACAAATACTGACACACATACAGATACAAACACACACAGACACACAGAGATACACGCAGAGAGACACACAGGCACACATACAGACACATACAGATTCACCGACACACAAACAGATACACATACAGATACACCTGTATAAGTGTGTGTTTGCGTAGTGAATGCAGTGTGTTTGCGTAGTGAATGCAGCTTGTGTGTATAATGTATGCAGCTTGTGTGTATAATGTATGCAGTGTGTGTATAGTGTAAGCAGTGTGTGTATAGTGAATGCAGTGTGTGTATATTGTATTTAGTGTGTGTATAGTGAATGCAGTGTGTATATAGTGTATGCAGTGTGTGTATAGTGAATGCAGTGTGTGCAGTGTGCGTATAGTGTGTGTATAGTGAATGCAGTGTGTGTATAGTGTAAGCAGTGTGTGTATAGTGAATGCAGTGTGTGTATAGTGTGTGCAGTGTGTGTATAGTGAATGCAGTGTGTGTATAATGAATGCAGTGTGTGTATAGTGTAAGGTGTGTGTATAGTGTATGCAGTGTGTGTATAGTGAATGCTGTGTGTGTATAGTGTATGCAGTGTGTGTGTGTTGTGCGGAATAAGTGCTGGGAAGGTGAGCAGTGTGTGTATAGTGAATGCAGTGTGTGTATAGTGTATACAGTGTTTGTGTGTGTTGTGTGGAATAAGTGCTGGGAAGGTGAGCAGTTTGTGTATAGTGTATGCAGTGTGTGTATAGTGAATGTAGTGTGTGTATAGTGTATCCAGTGTGTGTGTTGTGTGGAATAAGTGCTGGGAAGGTGAGCAGTGTGTGTATAGTGTATGCAATGTGTGTATAGTGTGTGCAGTGTGTATAGTGTATGCAGTGTGTGTATAGTGTGTGCAGTGTGTGTATAGTGAATGCAGTGTGTGTATAGTGTGTGCAGTGTGTGTATAGTGAATTCAGTGTGTGTATAGTGTATGCAGTGTGTGTGTTGTGTGGAATAAGTTCTGGGAAGGGGAGCAGTGTGTGTATAGTGTATGCAGTGTGTGTAAAGTGTATGCAGTGTGTGTATAGTGAATGCAGTGTGTGTGTTGTGTGGAATAAGTGCTGGGAAGGTGAGCAGTGTGTATGGTTTGCCCATCCCCCTCCCCCCCTTCCTGACACTTACCTGTCCCTCCCGTCCTCCTCAATGGGTGGTCCTGGTGGTCTGGTGGCACAGCTTTAGTTGGGCAGTGAAGAGGGGCCCAGTACTCTCCATGCTCATTTCCCATCCAGCAGCAGCAGGGTCCTCTGTTCTTGCGATCCGCAAGAACGTTGCCGCGGGTTGCCATAGCAACCCATGGCAATGCTCTCGCGGATCGCGAGAACAGAGGACCCTGCTGCTGCTGGAGAGGAAACTCACGTAAGCGGCTGGTCCCTTTACATAAGACACAGGGGCGGTGAAATTGCCACTACTGTGAAAGTGCGCCCCGGGCACCCCGCTAGTGAGTGGCACTCAGAGCGGATCGTCCCTGCTGCCCCCTCCTTAGTACGCCACTGTTAACAGTGAAACAGCTGTCCATGAGTGGTACACTGGTTTTGCATCTTTTCCTATATTGTGTTTCAAGCTGTTGTATAAAGCAAACACAGATTAAAAGGAATCCATGTTTAAAATGGAATGAGGCTGTGGTGAAACCAACCTCGCCACGAAGCATTGGAGAAGCCTGGTTGCTCGCCTGTTGCCATTGGACTATGGCCCCATGTTAAAAAGCCTTCTTTTCCCCTGCAGAAAAGGCTTGTTCGTGCCTTTCTGCCCGGCGTTCTGTAGATTCAATCTACCAAACAAACAACCAAATGACTGGACCACCTGTATTGGGAGTGTGATGGCAATTTACCTCCCAGAAGCTGCGGTTAACCGCAGCTTAATTGACGAATGCTGGGTGGCCTTTGTTCGTTTGCCGAACACGTGACGGCGGCCATTTTAAAGTCCCGAATGGCCAGCGGTGTTCGGCGCCCAAACTATGGAACTGGAAACGGACACTTATTTGCGCGAACACCGCTGAGCCATCAGCCTCCTTGCTTCTGCATTCGGTCATTTAACCGGATGCCTGTTCATTCGGTAGTTTAACCTTATGAACAGCACTACCCCAGATAGCCATGCCATGGAGCCTATTTGTGTAACGAAAGACTATGGGAAAGACTTTGGCTACATGGCGATTGAACTGTATGTATGTGATCTGAGCGCCATCCGGTAATAATATGCGCTCAGATCTAAGCTATCTGGGGATAGGTAGAATGTATATGTTTTGTGCAACAGTTGTAACTTAATTAATTTTTATGTCTTTTACTGTCTTTTACTGCCATGTGGTTAATGGAGTTTTGCCTCTGTCCTGGGAGATAATTGGATTACTTCCCAATTATCTCCAGGACAGAGGGAGGGAAATTAGGATGCATTGTGGGGATGTTTTACCTCTGTGTGTCTGTCATTGGTTCATGTCTGTCCTTTGTCACAGTCTCCCATTTGGTCCCATAGGGGAGTGTCCACCAGCTGGGAGACCTGCATAAATACTGGGCAGGTAGCCCTCATTAAACAGACCACTGCTTGACCCTCAACACAGAGCTCTGTCTCGTCTTTGGGGGGATTTACTGTATGCTGTTAGAGACTGATTGCCAGGAGTGTAAGCCGCTTGGGTGCTTTTCCTGTTCGTCTGCTAGCAGCTATTTGTGAGGTTCGGGAGTTTGGAGTGCTATTTTGTATGCAGTTCGGGAGTTTGGAGCATTCCCTTGTATTCAGTTCGGGAGTTTGGTGTTCTGCAGTAGCTGTGCCTGTATCTCTGGAACGGGAAGATCTTCTAAACGGCGGATTAACCCTTTTATGTCTAGGGGTGCCGTAACAGAGGCAAAAATGTGATTCTATGTTAAACTAATTTGCATATGCCCACCCAGAATCCTTTGCGGTTGTAACATAGCTGCAGTTATGGGATTTCTGAGGGAAAAGCAAATCTTATGACTTGACTGGTGTGCAGATTTTTGATTAACATTGTATTAATTATATATATATTTATATACATATATATATATATATATATATATATTTATATATATATATGTGTATATTTAAATTCTATGTGTATATTTGTGTAATGTTTTTACTTATTTTAGTGATTTTATCAATTCCAATTTGAGGGATCTGCCTAACAACCCAGGCAGAAAGTCCAGAGAATTTAATTGCAAACCCTATATTTAACCCTGCAGCTTTCCAAAACAATGATGGGGAGATCTGGCAAATTTCAATGTGTATAAACTAAAAAAGAGTACATGCTTTATTTGACCCTGTAACTTTTCAAAACCCCAAAGAACCTGTACATGGGGGGTACTCTTGTACTTGTGAGACATTGCTGAACACAAATATGTGTGTTTTAAAGCAGTAAAAATGAACTTTTAATGGGGAACCTTAGAAAGGCACACCAAGCAACCAAACCACATCATCAGTATACAGTACATAGCATTGCTGCTATGGCCCCTACTAAGCCTACATGTATTTATGAATGCATAAATGTATTAATTTACTCATTTAAAGGTTCTACTTGGCAACTTTGTGTATGTATCATACACAAATATTATGGTTTAAATAATGTCTACTAAAATTTTTTTTCAAAACATCTCATAGTGAAGCATCATGCCAGCACTTAAAAAAGTCATTGTCTTTGCCTACTCTTGACAAAGACCATTAAGTGGACAAAACCTGTCTGGAGCATCTACGTTCTTATTGCATCATGTTTCTGGTTTAGGTTGATGGGGTCTCTGCTTCAAGAAATTTGAGTAATTTAAAAAAAATAAAAAAATGGGTGAGTGCTCTTTGCCATTTGATTTCTACTTTCTAGATGACATCATTCAGGTATCCTTGGTTTCTTGAAAAACTGTAATTACCAGTCCTATAAAAAGCTTACCTTATTCTACCAACATCCAGCTTAATATGTTAAATGACTTTCACCTACAACTGAAGTTTTTTTTATACCCATTGGTCCCATCAACCTCTAGATATGCATGCAAGGTTGCTTAGAAAACCCTTAGGAATACTTAAGAATATTCCTGAATGCAGCATATTCCACAGTTCAATGCATTTTGCTTGTTTTAAATAAAGCCCT